AATCTCCCACTGGAAAAGAGCACGGGTTGCATCATGTCCCAAAAACCTAAAATCTGAGAAAACCTCAACATTCACAGGCCTGCACGTCAGTCATATTGCTCCCTCCATCCTATCTTTCTCCTCTAATCATTCACTCACTCTGGACTGGACTGTTTTCAGCAGCAGGACGGCCTCTTTGTACTTGCTGGCAGCCTCTCTGAATTGTCTCTGCTTGACCAGCGCATTTCCCTGCATGTGGAGAATCGGCACCGTCTGCAGCTTCTCATCCTTTTCCATCATCCACGACTCTCTGTGGTAGGACATGGGGTCTCCCACCTGGAAGCAGCAGGGGCAGGAGGAGAGCGTAACAGAACAAAAACGTCAAAAGGAGAAAAACTCCAGCAATTGAAGCAAGTTAATGTAGTACTCGAGTGCTGTACTTAAATACAATTTTGAGGTACTTTGCTATTTCCAATTTATGGTACTTATACTTAAGCTTCACTACATTTCAGAGGGAAATACAGTTTTTACTTCACTACATTTATTTGATAGCTATAGTTACTAAGATTTTGATGTATTTTTAGAAATAAACCACACAGGTTGTGGCTGATTAGATCTGCTCAAGTTGGAATTGTGCAAAGCTCAGCTGGGATTCACATGAAGTCACCGATAACAATGATTCTTTGTTTTAACTTGTCTTGCAACAAAACTAACAGGAGAGTGCTCTTATTTTCTGTGCACACAATATTATCTTGTGCATATAATGTTTCAGTTATATCCAATCATTTAGGACCAGGATAATTTAACACTCTGAAAGGGAGCATTATACTGCCTTACAAAGGCCAACAGCAGAGCAGAAACAGTGAGGTTGAGAAAAAAAAGCTTTGAAGTTTTAGGGCTACTAATTGTGTGTAACCGCTGCATAGCTGGAGTACATCACTGTAGTTTGGTTACACCAAAATGTATTTCTTTTTTTATTAGGCTGAAACATTTCTATGGAATAATATTTTTCATTTTGGTAAAAGAGAAGGTTTGAAGGCCAGTACTTTGGATACTTCTACATTGTTCTGGTAATACTTAAAACAATTTTATTTGTGTTGCTTCTTTTACTTCAGTAAAGGATCTGAGTATTTCTGAGTTGTCAGCTTGTAAAACAGGGAAGATGATAATTTACTGTTACCGCTGCTGGACCCCCTGGTGAGTTTCAAACTGGTTCTGGATACTATATTATTTCAAATGTGCATATCTTAGGCAGAGTGGGACTTCACTTTTGTCATTTCTGTCAGTGGATTTTAGAAAATAGTGTGTAGGAGTGTCTCACTTCTAGAAGAGGTTTGGATGAATAGGTAAATGTGTCTTTTTTTACTGTGAGCCTATGTTTACAGAGGCTTCAATTCGAGGAAAGCTGTTTATTGAAGAAAAAGACAGCTGATTATATTCTACGCTGTCTTCTTCTTTTGCTATTCAGTGTGACATGCAGTATATTGCCACTGGTGCTTACCTGCAACAGCTCCATGATGAATATAAGGGGTTGAGGAGTTCTCATTAGCTCATCCAGCTCTGGGAAACCAGTGGAGTGATAGTGGAACATGTTCCCCATACCACACATGTGTCTCTGGCCCTCTAGGGGGTCTTTCCCTTGAGCGATCAGCCTCATTCCCTTGGACACGATGGGGTACAAGCCTGTGTGCTGCAAAATGAACTCATCAACAGAACATAAACAACAGGTCTGCAACAAGACATAGAAGCACTTAATCGGGCTAACCCCCCGGTGCTGCCAGCTTGTGCTAATCAGTCCTACCAGGAAAACACAAGAAATGGCCACAATTTTACTTGCAAATTACATTTTTCTCCAGAAGAAAAACACTGCAATTTGCACAAAAGAGATTTTTCTGTTTGTGTTTATAATACAGGGCACATAGGAGGCTTCAGATGGTTGATTCATGTGCATCATAATGAGGAGCAAAAGCTTCCCTTCCATGCTCATGAACACCTATTAGGACCTCGTTTGGGGGCCTAATATCTTCCCTTGTGAGTCTGCAGTTCAACTCACAATGGAATCACACCAGAACTCAGCCACCTCTCCAGTCCTCATGGACATCAGCAGGGTCTCCCAGACTTCCATCTTGAACATCTTTCCGACAAAGATCTCAGCTGGCCTGCCAGCAAGTCGACTGTCATCGATGACCGTTCGTTCAAAGTTGTCCAACAGTGTCTGGAAGTGGAAAACCAGCTGGGATGGAAGGAGGGAGCCGGGGACAGGAAGAGTTGGATGGTGAAGATTAATGAATGAAACAATTCCTCAACAAAATATACTTTAAAAAGTACATTATGGTGTACAGTTTGACCATATATTGTACTTTAAAACAAATGGAGTTCTAGTATTGAACAATCCTCTGTGGGATATTTTTTCAGGAGGTCCATGAATAATCCCCACATATATTCAAAGACCTTGAATTTCCGCATTATTTAACATGTTATTTTGTCCTTAAGACCTTCTATTTACAAGCATAAAAAATATTTTCATGTTTCTATTCAAAACACAGCAATTCTATAATTAGTGTACCATCATTTTCCTTTCACTTTTTAAATCTACAGTGAGGAATGACTGCCTTTGTTTTTTTTTTTTATTTACATGTATGTACATTCATTCATCTTATCTCCTGTTTTGAACATGTTTGTATGTCTAAAATACACATAACATAATGAATGCAATAGACAAAATAGACTATTTGTCAACTTTGACAATGTGTTGCTGTTGACAATTGTATTAAGCTTGATATATCTATTTTAAAAAAGGGGAATTTCACTGAATGCTGTCACATATGTGACACAAAACATTCTTGTTTTCATTATGTGTTCCATCTGTTTGTGTGCATGTGAAAGCCTAACAAAGCCTTCACCATCACTCTGACTGTAAAATTACACTGGCTGCATGTAACCTTCTATTTATAGCTTGACAGATTGTGTATAATGGTCTGGTAACTGTGCGAGCAACCGGGAATCACCTCACCTGGGAGGGAGCACACACTCACTGTAATACAGACACACAGGTAAATGGAAATTCATGCTGGCATTGTCATGGAAAATGTTTGTCACGGTGTCCAGGCTCGAAGCCATATGGCTGGATTTGACTTGGAAGTCGGCGACCAGTGGATCAGTGGATGAACAGGAACACAGATACGGTGCCAAAAAACATGTTGCAATTTGGTTGACCAAATGTTTGCTCTGTGTGTAAGTGCCAGATACAGAATAAATGTCCTCACTTCATGAATAATTCAACAGAATCTAATTGAAGTGGGCAACACATAGCTAAAAATAGATATTTTTTTATGTGGAACAAATTACATCACAATGGTAATCGTGCTGGGAATGATTTCCAATCATACTGAGTTTGAATCTAGTATTATTTATGTTATCAGGTTAAGTGTGACTTGCTACCTTTGTCCCAGGTGGAAAGTGTGGCAGTGGTCCTGTGCCTCCGGCCAGAATCTTCTTCCTGACTCCTGGATGGTTCAGAAGGTATGTCTCCTCCATTGTCACTCTGCCTTGAGCAGTACAAGACAGGAAAATGTGTGTTTTAGAGATTTCTTTTTCCCTTTCTAGGCCTGTGTTCTTCTGGCTTTCTAATTAGCCTAGTGGAGAGAGTCTTGGCTGGTTAGATGCTCTCTGACAGATGGCAGGATTAGGCAGGGTTTGGAGGTGGACACTTTAATCTGAGGAGCTAATCTCTTGCCTACCCCTATGATTGGAGGGGCAACCCGTGCAGGAAGGAGTGGGCGAGGCAGGAATGGCCACCAGGACCCAGATCACCGTCGACCAAGTTAAGATCATTCTGGAAGGAGAGTAATCTTGTGACGTGCGGTTTAGTGACCGAGCTGTCCGGCCATGCTATGAGGGCTGTACATCACACTGGAAGTAGCCCTTTAACAGGAGATACTTACATTTGAACTAGGGCTGCAACTCATGATTATTTGCATTATTGATTACTTTTTTGAGCAATATTTGGGTCTATCAAACTGGCAGTTTGAAGCCCAAGGTTGTCTTCAAATTGCTTGTTTCTTGCGACCAACACTCCAAAACCCACACACCTTGACTTTATAATCACATAAGACAAAGAAAAGCAGCAAGTCCTCACAAGACACTGCAAACAAATTTCAGCTTGAAAAATGACTCAATTAATAGATGTTTGATCATCTATTAATTGAGTTACCAAATGATTTTCTGTCAATCAGCTAATCAATTAATCACCTCGGCTCTTATTTGAACAGGAAGCACTTGAATATGTGAGAAACTCTAAGATTAAAATCCAGATTCTGAGACAAAAATTCTTGTTTATCTTGACTGTTAAAATCCAGTAAGCTCAGTGGACAGTACGTTAAACACACTGAGCAGTAACAATGATGCAATCCACTGTATGCTGCCAGTGGCAGTCAGATGATGTTAAACTAGTTTAAAGACACTTAAATGAAAAACCTATTTTCCAAGTTCTAACCTTTTGTTATTGAGTTAATTATCTTGTTTCATGCTAAATATGTGTCAAATATGTGTTTTTTTTTTATGTCAAAATGCCTATTTCCTCTTTATGTTAAACAAATAAATATTTTTGATGACTCATCTTTAACTCATTTACATTAATTGGACCCATCAAATGTGATTTAGGGCGACTAGCTAACCTGCCCATCATATAAAAGCACACTTGACCATCAGTTAGTGTGGGTAGCTAGCAGAGCAACATAGGAGGAGAGTGTCTGGATTTTAGCTGGTAAACTTATGAAAACAAAGGTTGTGGTTGACATCTAATTTGTTTAGTTAACCCTTACCGCCTCCTCCTGGTCTAAAAACACAGGTGTGTGTGGAGGCCAACAGTCCCCTGCTGCATCGTATCTGCCATTTCACGTGGAAATAAGTTACATTACAGAAGATAAAGATGCTCTAACTTCAGTTTTACTGTTTTTAAAACTTTGAGGAAGGTTTATCCACCTGTAGAAAAATGATGTCAATGATATCAAACTGCAGACTTCTTTGACACTTGTGTGTTACTGTAATTTATTATTCATGTTGAAATACAAAGAGGATGAGCTGAGGGTGAGAGTACATTTAGCTTTAAGTTGATAAGCAATACAGACACAATATTCTGTGAAGCCACACATACACTTTAATCATACAGTAACTAACAACAAATTTAGTCAACTTAATAAAAAAACACTGCCTTTTAATACAGAAATATGTGTATGTGTAATGTTTAACAAGGCAAACTGAAAGGAATGACACAGCAAGTCAGCTAATAAAGACTCCCTCCCCCCTGGATGAAGGTTCTTCTCCTCCTCTTCTCAGTGTTTATGTGTGGCTGAAGATGACATGAGGCTGCCCCCTGGTGGTCACTTCTCTATCAGTGAGTCCAGCTGCTCCTGCAGGGAGGCCAGCTGTTGGAGCAGAAAATAGAAGGCGTGATTGATGCCCGACAGCCCCAGGGTGTAATTGGAGGGTAAGTGGATGATGATTAACATGTCTTTTCACATTAATTTGCTGCCTGCATTTGTCAATACAAACAACGACCCAAGACAGTGGGTGGCCTCTATGCCATAGCTACAAAAAGGACTTTTGGTAGCTGTTGACAAATTAAATTTCACATGATTGAATTTGAACTTTGCTATCAGGCATGAAAACTACTGGGTTAAAAAGGGACAGCCACTTTGCACATCTGGTAACATGGTATTTGACATTCATACAAGATAAATTCATGCAAAGTGCTGAAAGCTGTAGGAAGCTCGCAGCAAGCACGGATCCTCGGCTTTTACAAAAAGGTTCTTACCTGCTCCATCTCCCGCTCCTCCTGCTGAATAATCTCATCCAACAAAGCTTGGAAGCGGTTCTGTGAGAGGAGAAAGACAAACAAGATTTGTTCGAGTCGACATGCTGAGCCTCATTAAATTGTGATGGCTTTAAATGTGTGTTTGCCTGGGCTGCTCATGTCACTATCTCCTCTCTGACAGAAAGGCCACTTGGAATGCCAGTCAGAGACAGCTGACCTTTTCCCTGCGACTGTGATAATAACGACTGGAGATGGGGCTTTGACGGTCCCAAAACACCGGGCAATGAGAGCTCTAAATGGCAACGTAAAAAGGGCCATGTCTGCTCATGTTTCACTCATTGTAAAGTCTCCACTAAAGAGTGCTTGGCAGAACAATGAATTTTCATGCCAGTTTTTTTGCATAGCAATACTTATACAACAAAGGCTTGACAGGGAAAATGTAATATTTATGGATTTAAATATACAAAAAATGACATAATGGCCTCCAACACTGTGTGTAATCAGCTGTTTTTTTATGTTTTCACATCACTGTTGAGAGAACTTATGCTGCATGAGGACTTCTGCCTCCGAGCTCATCTGCATGTTCCTGTTTATGTTTCTGTACATGCAGACCTAGTTTCTGTGAAAGAAGTGTGTGTGTGTGTGTGTGTGTGTGTGTGTGTGTGTGTGTGTGTGTTCACTGCTTACTTTGAGGGCCTGGTTTTCCACTTTCATAATGAGCTCCTCCTGCTGTTTCTTACGGGCGCGGGTTTCTTGAAGCTTGGCCTTGACGCTGTTGATCTGCACCTGAAACTCCATAACTGCAGGGAACAGCAGAAGGTTCATGTGTTACAACTGTCATAACACAAATGTCATTTATGCTTCTGCTTTCTTGTGCAGTGAAGAACAGAAAAAGCCAGTTAAAGCAGTGATGTAATGTCATTTGAGAGCAACACTACACTCACAATTTCGTGAGGACAAGATATGCACCTCAGCTTGCTGAACCACAAGGATACCTCCATTTCAGTTTGACAAATTGCGGTTAATGGGAACAACAAATCCATTTAGAAAAGACGTGAGCCAGCAGGCCGAAGCACTCAAAGACACAACTAAATCAGTCTGCTCTGGGCTCCACAGAGGGTTCTCATTAAATCCAGCCAAAGTGATAGTGCCTCGCAACAACCTGTGGCTCCATCACCATCAACTACCTTCCAAACTAATTGTATCCATCCTTTGCTTCCCCCCCAGCTGATTCTCAATCCTCTGATACAGCCCATCTAATATGCAACATCAAGCAGGGAAGAGACCCTGCAGACCCATTTATTGCAGCTCTGCAGCACTGCCAGAAAAACGCACAGCCAGGCTTTGACACGTCTACAAAGGCTGTGCTGAGCTGCTACAGTGGAGCTGACCAATAGTGTTGCTGACTGACAGCTCCGTGTATGTAGATAAGGAGGCATTGAGCTGTCAGACCGGACAGCTGTCTGAGCCGAACACTGAGCCACAACACCTGTCAGGCTGGTCAGCTGAGGAGGAGAGCTGAGAGCTGTCAGTGTTGTGCATCTTTGCGGGTGAGGGCGCAGCATGTGTATTTAAGTGAAAGTAGGGCTACTCATTTGTGTGTGTGTGTGATGTCTGACCTACAAAACTCTGCTTTGATTAGAAGTCCAGACACCTGGCTAAGGTTATTTTTTTACCTCTGCTTTGATTTTATTTAATGTCCGACTGTCTCTGGTCTACAGGTGGGTTCTCAAATCAGCATGGCAAGTTATTGGCCATGACCGCTACGACTGAAAAAAGAAACGGTTGGTATGCTGGGTAAGTCGGCTGACAGAATCAGCATTCACACTGAGGTGCAAATGCAAGTTGCAAGCACAGCACGAGTGATTGCATAATTCTAATGCTGCACTTACTTCTTCCACCTTGGTATACATACACATGCACTTAGAATAGCTTTACAAGCACACATGCTCCATTCAAGACCAGATGTACATAAATATGCATCTCCCACCATATGGACACACAACTATAGGTCAAATATGATTGATGAGTTTCTACGTGCAGTTCATTTATAATATTCCTGAACTTTCATTTTTGAACTAGAAACAATTTGGTAAGTGATGCAAACTGTATCTTTGACAACAGCAAATACTACACCATAGCTGCAACTAACAATTATTCTAACTATTTTAATTAATTGATTTATTGTTTAGTCTATAAAATGACAAAAATATTGAAAAATGCTGATATTCCCACAGCCAAAGTGCCTTTGTCCAACCAACAACCCAAAGAGATTCCACTGAAAATGATATAAAAGAGGGACAAGCTACCCATTTTTTAAACCAACAAATATTGGAACTGCTCCTAGATTGGCTCTACATGTCAGAAACACAAAATCCATAATTATTAAGACTTTTTTTTATACTTGAATAAGCTTTTCATACAATCACCAATATTTGTAAAAACCTCTAAATTAAATCAGATTTGAAACAGTTTTCCAGATCTGTGTAGAAACCCTGATACCCTCTCACCTATCTGGTTGTTTCTATCGCTTTCGTGCTGTGCAGAATCAGACTCGTTGAGTTTGTCTTGGAGCTGTCGGACAAGATCATCCTCCGTGTCCATGATATTCAGGTCCTCATCCTCGTGCCGGTCCCCTTCGTCCTCTTCATCCTCACTGGAGCTGCTGATGTCGTTGAAGATCTCCCGCAGTTCATCACGCTGGGCTGGCCATGCGAAACGCACATTAGTGTCATTAACATGGAAACAAGCGAGAATTTAAGAATCTAGCTCGGGTTGGATCTAGGTCACAGAGAAAACAGTCTGGTAAAAACAGAAGATGTTAGGGAGATGGTCTCGTATGACCTAAACAATGTATGAGTAATGTGGACTCCAAACACTCAGCCTACTCATGACATTATGAACAGCTCATCTTATATAGCTAAGAAAAACTTTTACATTTTAGAAAGAAATGCTAGTCATCCCACTCACACACACACCACTCACCATCAGTACCTGTAAGTGCCAGCACACATGCCTGGATTGCCTATCTATGTGCTAGGAAGGTTCTCTGGTGAGTCTAGCGGCAAAAATAATCTTAAGGCCAAAGAGTAACTAATGCTTGGGTGCACTCTATTTCCATTTCAAACCACTGGGGCAGAGGCTATCAGGAGTGACAAGAGTGGTGAGCATGTTCAAAATGAAGAGGGGAAACCTCTGCTGGTGAGAGGAGGAGGAATATCAGAGAGATCATTGTACAACAGTCAGGTCAATCGCAAGAGCTATCTGCGGTTCTTCAAAGCAGCGGCACACAAAGAGCCTGACCAATAAACCAGCCCATTTTAGCTTATTGAAGTTTTATCAGTATCAACATATATGTCAGCCAAAAAGTAATTGGTAAGAAATTGGTACAGAAATGTCAAAAATACTTTTGAGATAGTTTAGAAACAGTAGGTCCTATGTCCTTTCTTAAACACTTTTCATTACCCTTGAGGGAAAACGTCATGAGATCAAGGAAAGATGTAAAGGAGAATTCACAAGGATGTAGGAAAAGACAACCACGGTACTGAGAAAATCCAACTGCACTTTGCTACATTAGGTAATTATGTGATAGCGGATGTTGATGACGTGTGCCTGCTGTGGTGAAACTACAACGCTCCGAAAGATGGACTAAAAGAAGCGCATTTTAGATATTTCGCACCTGCACTCTTACCATGTTGTTTCATGTTTGGTGATATCAGTCGTGTTTAATAGGCCTACTACTGTACATATCATAATCTTCTACAGCACATTGCTGTTTATACTTAATACTGTGATCAACACATTCCTGCACAAAGTGTACATCTTCTATTTAAAATACTAGCCATATTGTACATACTGTGTATTATTATCTTTATATTTTACATATAATATAGTTCATTTTCTATTTATGCTTCTTGACTTGCACTGCTTGTTTTCCTTTTCTTATGTTTATTGATGCACCAATATACCGTGGCAAATTCCAAATGTGGTGATGGTCCAGAGTATCCTCCGCTAAAGGAGATAATAAAGGAAGCATTGGCGTTAATTTTTCTTACCACTTAGAGAATTCAAGCAGCTCTTGCTGCCACTTAAATACTTCCGGATCCTTTCACCAAGTTAGGAACCTTCCTAAGCAAAAAAGACTATTCGACCGGACGCAGTGTCTCCACAGAGTGGAGGAACCAGCATGCTAACAAAACCCAACCACATCTTACTCCCCTTGATGTACTAATGGAAAATGTTTCGCTTACCAGAGGAGCCATGACCCATCTTGTGTCCTGAGGTGCCGGGTGAGGAGTCCAGGTTGGCCAGAGAACCGTGTTGATCTGCTTCCTTGGACTCATCCTCTGCTATGATTTCCCACCCTGAACGTCATAGGTTAAGGTCAACATACTCTCTGTAGTCCTACACTAAAGACTCACTTTCTACAAACTCCTCTTTGAAGTAGACTAAAAACCAGATGATAGGGAACTCCCTTAACGTTAACATTCATTAGTGTGTCATGTGTATGTCTGCTGCTGCATGCAAACGCTAAATCTATAATTAGCATCTAGCTTCACTGTGACCAACTAAGCAATGATAATGAACAGTCCATCTCAATTAACACACAGCAAGCAGCCACTCAAAGCAGCCCTGCTGTGCTCTTATTCTGTCAGGCAAGTTTAGAGTTTCATTAGAGCACTAATAGCCTCCTTGCAAAGTGCATCTCTCACACAAAGACATTAGACAGAGTCAAGTCCGGTGAGCCAGGCAGGAGTGAAGACATGCACCTGCGCCTTAGATATACCTATTTAGGATGTAAGATGGGAGTGGGTTTACGTTTGTCCCAAAAAGACAAGATTATTAACTATCTGGTACTTCTTAAAAGCTGAAGTCATGGCTAGGAGTTAGCTTTCCATCTGATTATAAATTGCATGCTGTTGCTTAATGTTGCTTAATGTTAATGATAAACAGCAGTGATCTTGTGCTTTGTTACACAACTGGTTATTTAGCATTTTAGGCTTTGCAAAATGGACGTACAGAATAGCCATAGGTGTCTAAAAGGATACGGACGCTGACAGCCTCAGCGTCTGTGCTCAGCAATCTCTTCACCTCCTTTTCCACATCAGGAGATTCAATGTACTGCAAGAGAGAGAGATTGGGTTACATGTAGTGTTAGCAGCAGCTCTCTCGCTCTCTCCCTCTGTCTTACACACAAAGGTAGCAGCTGGCTGCATGCCAGGAAGCACATTAGCGATTAACAACAGAAGGGGCCAAATCAATATGGCTCGGCTCTGCATCTTCAGGAAGATTTATTCTGAAGACAAAGTAGAAGTGTAGTGCTTGAGCACACTCGCTTTCACTTTGATCAAAGCAATAGTGAAATTGCTTTTTTGCATGCCTTTGGGGCAAACTAAGATGGAAAGGCTTTATTTATATGTAAATCTTAGTTTTCACTTTCACCACAGTTCCTATTTTATGAAATGTAAATGTCTTGTTGGAAGAGAGCCTAGGAAAGCGATGGATCATCAGACAGGATGCTAAAGAGACGGATGGGAAAGGGGAGGGGAGTGCTGAGGGGGAAATGAAAATGTCAAAACCTTCTTTTTCGCAGTCTTCCGAAATCTCCTCTTGCGTGTGTTCTTCAGAGGGCAGGTGACTGGAGACCAAAACAACAGGATCAGTGAAGTCAAAATGGCTCAATCAGCTGTGAAAGGCAAACTATGCTTCCTGAATTGCTGAAGTTTTCGGCACTAACTGTGTGTAGCTACTTACTGCCGTGGTTCCAAATGAATTTCTTGTCCTTGTCTTTGTCCTTCTTCTTGCTCTTGGGGTCGGTGCCAGTTGGCTCCTCTAAAGGAGGGTAAAGGTCTCCATCTAGTGTACATACCAGCATCTAACCCAAGGATGCAAAATAAATGGTAAATTATTACTCAGCATTGTGCCGATTAATGCTGTTAACCCGATAACCCTGCACAAGAAAAGTGGGGACAATACCTTAGTTTTAAATGTTGAATACTTTTTGATCACAATCCTCATCCTAAATGCAAACAAGAAATGTATCCAATGAAGATGATATCCTAAATTTAATGCCACTGTGGTTTACCTGGCAGACATCAGCAGTCTTGTAAAATGTCTTCTTGTCCACTGTTTTCAGAGACTCAATCATACAGGGCAGGTCCACTAGTTTGCAGGCGAGAGGGACACGGTCTACCCTCACTATGCCATGACGACCATCGGCTAAGAACGAGAAGGGCAACATGATTGATAAATATGAGATGTTGTGTGTGAGACAAAGGTAATCATTGTCATTAAACACAACAGTCAGTTGAGTGGAAAAATGGAGAGTACAAATACAGGTGAAAAACATGATTTTCAGACAGACGTCCAGTGTGTAATATTAAGGAGGATCTATTGGCGGAAATGGAGTATAATATCTATAGTATGTTTCCCATGTATGTAATCACCTGAAAATAAGAATTGTTATGTTTTGTTACCTTAAATTGAACCATTTGTGTTTACAGAGGTAGCGGGTGCTCTTCTATGATGTATGCCATGTTTCTACAGTAGCTCAAATCCTATGATCTATACGCTTGAAACAGGAGTTGTAACCTGCAACTACACTGCCAGGTGCCACCAGATCCTACACACTTTAAGATAATTTGGTAGTAAAGAGCATGGCATCTGAATTTGTTGTCAAATTGACTGTTGTTATTAGTAATGTATTCCAACAAAACTGAAAATGAAAATCATAAAATGTCAATTCCAACTGAGAAGAAAATTGCAGTTGAAACAATGTTAAACCTGTTTGTGAGTTAAAACAGGTCAGTAGTGCTAGTATTAAGATATAAGAGTGAATCCCTAATTACAAACTAGACTGAACATTTGAGTGTCACTGTAGAAATATGGAAATATACATTTTCGCAAGTTACAAAATTCTGAATAATCTCGTGTTAAATGAATACCCTGACAGCTTTCATATGAGACTGATTGATAAGACAAATGAAATCAGTGTTTGAACAGTGATGTCAGATCAGACATATAATACCAGTACTAAGACTACTGATAAACCAGCTTACGGTGCAACTCAATGGTGAGTCTGTCTTTCATGTTCATACTGCTGGACTGGGCAATCCTCCTTACTGTTGAAGCATACTCCTGTAAAAGAGAGATGAGGAATCCACATCATTTCCAGCCAACAGTCACACTTCATTTCATAGAAATAACCAGTTTCATTATGTGCAACAGTCTCACCGAAGGAAGCCTCAGGACAAACTGGCTCTCCAATTCATAAGGAGCATCCTCCTTATTCTTGGAGCCGACCTTCCCAACTAGAATGAAAACACATCACCATGAACAAAGTGGTAAAATAGATTCCTTGCTGCTTGGTGTATATTTCTGAAGCTACAACAATACACTTGAAACAAACAGGGACATTTAACTTTTGTAAGAGCAATATATCTGGCTTTTTGCTTATATTGGACTAACCTAGAGTAATACAGTATGTTATGGCTTAGATGGTCTAGTCTTTTGACCAATTTCAGCTCATATGAACTGCACTTGTATAGCCCTTCAGATTAGGCATCTTAGACCACTGCTAATCACATCAAGAAAAACATTAAACCAAAGTGAACCATGCACTTGCTGTTAAGAACTGTAACTTCATTGAGTATTTTGGAGTAAATTTATTCATACATTTTTTTAATGTTTGCCATATTTGTATTTAATGTCTCTTGACTCAGGGGCTTCTCACTTCAACATCTCAAACTGTGGGCGTCCCCTCATACATAGCTTGGAAAAGGGTGCCCCAACCTTCCTGGATGCCTAGGAGCTCATAATTGTGTTATTTGATTCCATAGACAATTGAGCCAAGATAACCCTAATATGCGGTTTGAAGTAAATTCAGACTACACCAAGTACATAATCAATGTATCAGTTTCTGACTCTGGGAAAGTGGGAAAACAGTTCAATTCCTCAAAACTACTATATATCTGAACTATCTCTTTAACCAAATCACAAACATTTAGGCTATCCTTTATAATCTCCTTTTGTTAACTAGTTTAATAACTAATGTAGTGTTGTTTCACTTAAATTCCCTGAGCCTTTCCACAGACTGTTTGGAGTCATCCTGGAGAGGCCAACCTCCCACTTTGAAAACTAATGTCTTAAGTGATTTCAAAAATAAGCTTTTTCCAGATTTTTTTCCTACCTGTATCTAATATTTTTATTCAGCTTTGGTACTGCATATGTATTGTTCTTGTCATACACCAAGTATACATTGCATCTTCTTGGTACACATAAACTCAGTCATCACTCACAGTGATATTATAAACGAATATCTCATATTGTTAAATTGGAGCATTGACCTGTGATTCCTTGTGGTAAACAATAATGTAGCCAAACTAAAACCTCTTCTCAGCTATCATCAATATACAGTATTTAAAACAGACAACACTATCATGACCCCTCTCAAACATAATAATTGTATTATTAGTTCAATAACTAGCATCAGCTAACTATAATTGTGATAAATCTTAGTATGAATGAACGATCTCTGTTTTGCCAATATAACTTAGTTAAGTATGTAAAGTAGGACTAGCCCAGTTAATTTAGCCTGAATTAATCCCAGAATGAGACATTATAAATAACCTTAAGCCAGAGTAAACATCAGGTAATTACTTATAAGTCTTTATAACGTTATCTAACGCTATCGCAGTTTATAACAATAGTAAGGTAGCAGGCAGGGTTAGCACGAAATATATACCTATAACGTTAATGTTAGAGAAAACCCTGATAAATACACTACAAACTATGATTTGTTAACACTGTTATGGAACTTATACACATTTTGCAGCAACCAAAAACTCGTTATTTCTATTATATTTATTACAACACAAACTGCATAAGCAGAGGCGACATGTTTACAAAATAAGAGAGCTAGCTAGCTGCCGTTAGCTCAATAGTTACTTGGGCTACATTGATGACAAAGCCTTTTAACGTACCTTTTATTTTAGATGTCATCTTCGTTTTTGTAATATGGACGGTGCCGCTGCATAAATGTGCTTAAATTATAAAAAATAATGGCAAGATGGCAAGTATAACTATGCTGACTTTGATTAAATCGAACCAGCTTAGCTTCACGAAGCTAACACAGCCATAACGAAAACGCGAGTGGGGTGGTGTACACTCCTGCTACATTCAGGCTCTCCTCGGAAATTGCGGTGCTGACACATTCTAGTACACTTTCCTGCACCATTAATGAAAGTACAGGGTACCACCATGGCAGACTACCCGTGCTCGGAGATTCTTCATACCTTGCGGTGTAGCTCTGTTAAATAAATTATTGTAATATCATGGTTGTGTCACTTGCATTTTGTTGTCCCTGGTTTTTGGTTGTTGTAAGGTAACTTTAACTGTAATGTATTTATTGTTATTATATTTAATTGACACAAAAGTTCATAAATATGTCATATTGTAAGGAAATAACAACAATCATTGCAATATATAAGTATAATTGTTTTTGTACGCTGACTCCTCTAACGTTAGTTTATACGAAATGTACATTTCCGATACACCTGAATGTAACATTAATTCCTGTGTCTTATTCTGTATCGCGAGATTTGTGACACGGACGAGTTTCGGGGGTAAAACGGTGATATTGAAATATCACCATTTAACAAAATATTTAAATTGTAGTTAATTTTATTTTTTATAAAGTTGTAGTATATGAATTGTTAGTTAAACGTCATTACAAAAAGCATATTGGACGAAACTTTACGTTTTCTACAAAATCATTAAACTGTTGTCTATTAAAACAGCCAAGTTGGTCAGTAAAACAGAAATAAATACGAAATCGTAGAAATTATCTAGCTTTCATCTCACTTCCTGTTCAGAGTGATGGCAATTCGAAATTTCATAATAAGAGTCCTCGATTACAACTATTATCACCAGCTATGGAAATACTCTTTAAATCTTTACATTTGTTCATTCACATGTCATATAAATACCACCCAATACATTAGGGCAAGGATTTATCGATTATGTTTTCTTTAAACTGGCAACATCCTGATACGGTGCTCTTACATCGAAACAAACATTGTACACTTTCTGGAAAAATACTTTTCACTTCCGGGCCGGAATCAATTCCTCTGTTGCTGTCGTCTATGCACTCTCTACTCCCCTCCTCCTCCTCCTCCTCCTCCTCCGGTTCGTGGATAATATTTGCACAAAGTTTGCTGTTATCCACGACGACACTGCAGCATTTGACCACCGACCAGCCGACATGGTGTTCAGAGTGACTGTCAACAGCGCGTGGAGGGCGACGAGGACGCTGTGGCTGCTCGTGCTGGTGAGCCTGTCTGTGTGCATCTGTGTTTGCCGAGCATCATCAACTCAGGAGGACAGTGCCATGGAGAACATCGTTACGGAGAAAAAGGCTGAGGAGAGCCACAGGCAGGACAGCGCGGACCTGCTCATCTTCATCATGCTCCTCACCCTCACCATCCTCACCATCTGGCTGTTCAAACACCGGCGGTTCAGGTTTCTGCACGAAACTGGGCTGGCGATGATTTATGGTGAGATGCTCCAGCGTGACTGAGAGACGTCGTCAGTGTCGTTACTTTTCATTTTATACTCGTGATAAGGGTTTGAAGGGATTGTATGTCTTATCAGGCTTCACTCTGCCCAACCCGGAAACAAAATACTAAGTATGTCAACCTGTTTTATGTACCAGGCTGTTCCAGGTTGATGCTGCATATTTACGGCAGTATGAACACTTTGTATGTGCTTGGTAGTGAAAATAGCATCCATGTAACTCAGTATGTTTCGGTCTCCAGAGGGAACTAGTGTGGTTTGAAAAGGCCTGCCCAAAATGTCCCTTTACATTTTCACTTCTCTAAAGGATGAATGTAATTTGGAGCAGGCCGTACCACAACAGGCTGTTCCCTCCTTAACTCAGACAGCAACACAAACACATCCTACACCTGAGAGGACAAACAACGCCACTGGCCGGGCTGTCACTTCTCTTTTAAAGTGGTATGAGGTGGCAGCATTTCTGTAGAGCTGTCAATTCCCCCCCAAAGCCAACCTCCTTAAAAATAATTTTCTGAATGGATGAGAAGTTGGTCACGCTGAAGTAGAATCATGTTACTATTTGTATCTACGATGACTTGTTTCTATAATCGCTGCCAGCACAGCAGTAGGTGTTTGGACTTTGCCTGATTGGCCTTTTTCACAGCAGACATTTTGACTTGTGGTATTAGGAGGAAAACAGTTGTACTAGTTAATATCAATAATAATGAATTGCACTCAAATGTCATGCTGGCAGCCAGCATTAGCAGTAATAGTGTTTCCTGCTAGATTAATCAAAAGAGAGTGGGCTTGTGCAAACTGTGCTTAAATGACATCTTCTTCACTTTCCACTTAGTTCTGGTGCAACTGTTAGAGTGTCAACTTACATGTTATTTTTTAGATAGGGTTTGTTGACATCATGTAAGTCCCAGCAGAGCTCCACTCAACTTCCTGGTTGGCTGATCAGCCAGAGATCAGTCATTGAAAACGCTTTTTTAGAGTCATTATCTTAACACGTACTGTAGTATTCCTAATTTATATCCAAATATATTATTCTCATATGAATGTTGGATTTTAATTTCATAGCAAAAGTTAGTTTATGCTATTTAGTCTGGCTTTGTGCAGGTAAGAATTTTACTTTTTCTCCATATCTTCATTTCTTTTCCACAGCTGAAACATGTGATGACCCCGTATTCACTCCTCTAGTGACATCTCTTCATTGATTTCAGCCTTCTTGTTGCAACACTAATCAACTTCGCCCTCTGTATCCTGTTTGTCGTGGTTCTTTTCCCAGGTGTACTTGTTGGCGTGGTCTTACGCTATGGCATCCATGTTCCCCGGGACATTAGCAACGCCACGCTGAGCTGCCCCGTTAATGCCAGCCCCGCCACACTGCTGATCAACGTCAGTGGTAAATTCTACGAGTACACTCTGAAAGGAGAGATCAATGCCAACGAGGTGGACGACGTTCAAGATAATGAGATGCTGCGAAAGGTACAGGCGATCGTTTTATTGTCTGAAATCTCATGTTTGACCCCAAAAAGTTGTTTAGTGCCACGAATGATTGCATGTCAGGAATATTGTGAAGTTTCCATGTATATGTCACATACAGGTTTAATGTTTTTTTCGACTGTTCATGTTGCAACTGTATAATATAGAGCTTAATCAATCAGTTGATCAATTAGTCAATCAACAGAAAATTAATTGTCAACTATTTTGTAATTACTAATCTTTTTACATTTATGAGTTTACTGGGAATCTTTTTGGACTGTTGGTCAGACATGATGTTACATTGAGCTCTGGCAAATTATATTTATATTTTTCACTCTCATATAGACAAAATGATTAATTAATTGAGAAAATCAGTGTCAGATTAATTGATAATTAAGCAATTCTGCATTCTCCTCCAATAAATATATATAATATATCTCCCATTTATAGAAGTACAGAATGAAGTTATGCAATCTGAAGCCGGACAAAGAACTTTTACAAAAAATTTACAAAATGTTGAGAGAGACTTATTTTTATCAGAGGTAATAAACCTGTCATGAAGCTGCTCTCAATCAAAGGCAGCAGACAGATGCCTTTTACCTGAAGGTCACTTGAACTTTTTGGAGCCATAATTATTATTCTGTGGTTATGTTGGTGAAATGTAAACAAAATGCCCCAGAGGTCTTTCACATTGTAGCACTGTCCGTCATTGGTTGAAGTTTGTTCACCATCAGATTTCTTCTTTTACAAATTAAACTCGTCAAACTGCAGACAACTGTTAAAATAGCACTGATACAGATTTACACCTAACATGAGTTTGGCTCTGCATGTGTGTAGATGCTGTCCCCATTTCCCATCCCATCATTTCACCATTATAAGAATGTTTTGTTGATTGTCCTGGAAGCTACTTCATGCTGCCCCAGATGTGTCATTTAGGATTAATTAAGAAGTATCCATTAAGACAACTTTTTTGTTCTATTCATTTCAAACTGATCCAGAACTGTAATATGATCCTGTTTTTGTGTGTGTGTGTGTGTGTGTGTGTGTGTGTGTGTGTGTGTGTGTGTGTGTGTGTGTGTGTGTGTGTGTGTGTGTGTGTGTGTGACTCAGGTGACCTTTGACCCTGAAGTGTTCTTCAATATTCTCCTCCCACCTATCATCTTCCACGCTGGCTACAGCTTAAAAAGGGTACAGTGCTATTTATCTCTACTGTTGAATACAAGTGAAATGCTCATTAATTACACAGTGAATATTTTAATAACACGTTTGACTCCTGATGTCCTCTCTTCAATATGAAATGCTGAAATCCACTTATTTCCTCTCAGAGTTGAGTGGTGATTATAGCCACTATGCAGATGATTGCTGACGTGTTTAATTGTTTTGTCTTTCAGAGGCACTTTTTCCGTAACATGGGATCTATCCTGGCTTATGCCTTTCTGGGGACAGTTATTTCCTGTTTTGTTATTGGGTAAGAATATTAATTTGCTGAACAAAAATCCACCATTCTGCATTGGGGCCACAATATGCACCAAAGACATTGTATGCAAGGGCAGTATTCATATATGTCAGTTACTGTGGTGTTAAAGTGCCCATAATGGCAATAAAGTCAGTGTTGTTTATGATGATATGCAAAACCACCTGCTGTTCCTCCGTCAGGTTGCTGATGTATGGCTGTGTGATGCTAATGAAGCAGGTGGGACAGCTGGATGGAGACTTCTTCTTCACTGATTGTCTGTTCTTTGGAGCCATCGTCTCTGCCACGGACCCCGGTGTGTATGCTCGTCTTCAGCTTTCAAAGTTTTCCCTGCCTATATGTTACACTAATTATAAACCAGATTCACTTTTATCTTTTGAATTGTTCAAAGCTTGCACTATTCATTCTGGCAGACAGGACACAGGCACAAGCTATAGAGGACAAATGTATATTTTCTACTGCTCTCGAACTATTAATTCACACTTTCGATTTCTCCTGTAATTCCCTCTACACATGCCTCAGTCAAGCTGCTCTAAATTGTTTACAGGTAGTTCAAAATCCATCTGCCAGGCCATTCACTAGAACTAGCACTCAGTCCAACATACCCCCTGTTCTTGCATCCCTCCATATGCTTCCTCTAAAACTCACAATAAACCAAAATATCCTGTTGATTGCATATAAAGCACTGCATTTCTGATCCTGCACTCCGATCCTCAATTATCTCTCTTTTTATCCATCGCTCCAACTGCTAAACAAAAGGTGATTGCACCTTTGCTGTTATAGCCCCAACCCTCTGGAATCATCTTCCTCTGTCTATCAGACTTTAAACTGTTTTAAGCAACTTCTGAAAACCCATCATTCTATAGGCAGGCTTTTCTATAGATGTCCATCCCTGTCTTATGTTTTGATTCCGTTTTAGTTTAGTCTGTTGTCTATTGTAATTTAATTGTATTTATTTTATATTTGCCGTGTGTGAGAGAAGCACTTTTTAACTTTTAAAAAGTTCTAATATAGCTTCCATTACTTATTACAAACTTTGTGTCAAAATCGCAAACGGTATACTAAGAATAACTCTGTTTACCATCACGTCTGTTACAATTGTTCAGTTTTGATGGCCACTATTTTTACATCTAAGATCCACAGCTGGTAAAATGAAAAAACTGAAGTAGAAAGGGAAAAACCTCAGAAAAGACAAAAATAATTCAATACCCAGAAGTATAGTAAAAAGTAATAATCACTTAAAACTTATAAAACTAGTATTATTATATAGTATAGAATTGAAACACAGCTCTTGACACCTGCTTCCATCTTGTGTCGTGATATGTATCGTTATTTGGGTTAGGGGGAATAAGTGTGTTTGTGTTTGTTCACAGTGACGGTCCTGGCTATCTTCAACGAGCTGCAGGTAGACGTGGATCTGTACGCTTTGCTGTTTGGAGAGAGTGTGCTCAACGACGCAGTGGCCGTGGTTCTGTCCTCGTAAGTCGTCTGTCCTTTTCACATCACACTCGAACCATTGCATCCCAAACGTATCTTGAATGTGAACAGAGCTGCGAAGTTACTGGTTCACTGAGAGTGATGATGAAAATGCAAGTCATGCGTTTTGTATCGATCGGCCTGTGACCTTTTAACTAACCTAATGTCAGCTTCTCTGTAAGGCTGTGCTAAACACGAGGTGTTCCCTGAGCTAACATTCTCCTCCTCTATATGGGACTGTTATTATTTCCACAGAATTGTAAATTATAATAGCAGGCACAGTGGAGGGGCCGGCGCCTGCGGAGAGACTCTGACCAGCCCATTGAACGGGTGTACTAAGTAGAGCATGGCATTGTGTGCCTTTGCGGTGCCTTGGGACAAACATGACAAATCACCAGCCATTTGTTTCTCCACTCTGGCTTATTCAACCAGAGGTGCAGAAGATTTTATTATTTTCTTGGTAAACATTTTTTGATATCATGAGCCAGCTCTGAACGCATTCCTATTATCTTTCAAGATACTGTAAAGACAAAAGCCAAGGAGAAGGCAGGACGCCCAGATTGCTTATATACAAAATGCCTGGTGATTTGTCTTGAGAGTGTTGGGGCTGTGAATGGAGGGAGTGAATATATACTTTATTTACATTTTATCGCAAAAGTTACCCAACAAAATGAAAATGTATATTTTATAATGATAACTCCCCTGCTAAAATAAAAATTCTGCTGCGATAAAATCCTTCTCATCACAGACTCCCTTTTTAGAGCAAGACAGAAGAAGTATGTTCCTGTTCTTTCAAGTCTGACTTTATTGGGACAGTTCAGTGTTCATACTCAACTACCAGGTCACACAAAATTGATGTACATACAACATATGAATAACATACTGTACACTGAAAACATTTTCATCACATTTGTATTTTTCTTTACAAGCAGCAAGTGGACTAATATCTCTTTTTACGGAGGAAAAAGCTCTTTTCTTGCTCTAATGGCAGATTATGGTTTTCTCCTCATTCTACCTTGACAAAATGTGTATTTAACAGCAAGTAATGATGTTTTTTTAGTAAAAACAGTCACTAAAAGGCAGTAAAGTAAGCCGAAACTACACCATAATATTTTTTATTGTCTATTGTTTAACCCTTGCGCAGAATTTATGGGAACCTTGACCTTAGTGGAAACTTGCCTACATATGTGCAGTCTAAAGAATACGTTACTTATCTGTGCTTAACTTGACACAGCAGTATCACTTCGGTAGATTTTTTTAGAAAGCCACATTGTCCTAAGTTGAGTATTAACACTGAACTATTCAAATAGAGACATGTTCCAACCCTCTGACCTCTACATTACTCTGCCTTTCTCTTTATCTCGAGTCCTCCAGTTTACATGACTGAGAGTTTTTGCTGTGAAAGCACACCTGAAAGGTTTTCAAGAAAGTACAAGGAGACCTAACTATAGTGCTGGAATGTGCAGTTAACAAGAATATCTACTTACAGTACAGGTTATCATATTATACAAATACCACATTTGTATCTGTATGGAGGCTTTCGCTTTAGTTTAAGAAGTAAAGTAAAGTTTATGTTTAATTCAATGATTAACTCTCTCTGCACATTTGTAGCCGCCATTAAATGGTTTTATTGTGTGTTATATCAGGTCTATAGTTGCGTACCAGCCACAAGGAGACAACAGCCACACCTTTGAGGTCATGGCGATGCTGAAGTCTTTTGGGATGTTCCTCGGAGTTTTCAGCGGCTCTTTTGCTCTGGGAGTGGCCACCGGAGTCTTCACCGCACTCATATCTTTTCCGTCATTTAATTGTTTATTCATTTATTTATATTAATCTTAAAAAATAACTATTTCTAAAACTTTCCTTTATAAGGCAAGAAAAAGTGTTTACAGAACGTGGTTAAATGTAAATTAAATCTTAATTATTTACTCAGTTGTAGATGTTTCTGTTTGATTAAAAAAGAATGACTACGTTACAAAAAGTACCTTGAACACTTTAAATGATAGTAAGAGGTGCAAACTTGTTTTTTGTAAAAGTAAAGGAGGAAAAGTAAGATAAAAATGAGTAGAAAATGGAACTTGTTTGCACAATATTTGTCTTGTTTGTAGAATCCATGTGAAACAGGTGACAGTAATAATGGCTCCATTAGAGGCTGTGAACACATCACTTTAATTATCCTACCACAGGGCCAGATTTAGTCAGACTCACCTGTCCTTTGTTAGATGTCATGAATAATAGATAAAAGTTTAATATGGATTCATTTTGCAGTGTCTGAGTGTCTTGTTAAATTCCTTGACTGTTGTCCGTACGTGACTAAGTTCACTAAGCTAAGAGATTTCCCACTGTTGGAGACGGCTCTGTTCTTTCTCATGTCATGGAGCACATTCCTACTGGCTGAGGCCTGTGGATTTACAGGTAATACACACACACACACACACACACACACACACACACACACACACACACACACACACACACACACACACACACACACACACACACACACACACCAAATAGCATCCACGTTTCACAAGTGTCCTTGTCCTTGAACTAAATTTCTTGGAGTACGTACAAAATAAGTTTCCTGTGAGGATCAAAAACTTTATGCTGTTGTTAATAATCAGTTTTTATTGAGCTTCTAACTCTTCTGTATCTTTGTCCCTCCTGGTGTGTTGCAGGTGTGGTCGCAGTGCTGTTCTGTGGAATCACTCAGGCCCACTACACCTTCAACAACCTGTCTCCAGACTCCCAGGACAGGACCAAACAGGTCAGACCTGGACTACAGTCGCACCACTGCCCATTCTGTTCTTTTTGAATATGTATATTTGGATTGACTGATGTTTGGTCCATTTATTTTTACAGTAGAAAAAAAGTTAAGGATGAAGATCTTTAGTTACGTAGTCAAATATTTAAACAATGAAATGTCCCAGAACTAATAAAGGTGTGGGCCAATTTACAAGCTATAAATGGTACAGTGATAATGGGTTTGTTGTTAAAGCACAGTATGCTAATATTTGTTGTTTGATTTTGTGGCTCAGTAACGTATTCATTCACCTTCACTGCTCATGAACTCAGTAGTGTAGCAGAACAGTGAGCTGGTAGTCAGAGATCATCAAGGGAAATAATGCAGTCTGGTGCTTCTAAAGCACAAGTCTGAATCATTGTGCCAAAATAGAAAAATACTAAGTAGAGGGTTAGCAAAAGCATCTCCGCATTGGCCTTGCAAGGTTCATGAGGATTTAAGACAGCAGATGGTGTGATGAGCCATCTTTAACCCATGAACTGCCAGTTTTCATAATTTGGTGAGGGTGTCAGTATTAATACCAGCATTGATGTTCCTCATCACGTTTAAGTGTGGAGTACCTCTTCTAGGAGAGGATAATGAAACAAAATAACTGCATTTATACATGCTCTGAAAATGTAGTTTTCAAAGTCTGATTTCAGTCAAACATGCAAGCAAGGTGTATCAAGCTGATGAATTTGTTTCTTGGTAACTTTCTAATCTCTTTCTGTTAAGCTGTACATCCACTAACATTGCCGTTATCTAAAGCACTTAATGTTGTTTCTCCTTTGTTGCAGCTGTTTGAACTGCTAAATTTCCTGGCAGAGAACTTCATTTTCTCCTACATGGGTCTGACCCTGTTCACCTTCCAGAACCACGTCTTTAACCCCATGTTCATCGTTGGAGCTTTTGTATCTTTTGCAAACGGGGCACGCAAAGCCCGATAACCCTCAGCTTGATCTCAACAGTGGCTGTTTTCACTCACATGTGAAGTCAGTTAGGTAATATCAGCGTAGGAATATGGAACTGCCACTAATTTCAGTTTCCAGAGAGGAAGCTTTACAAATAAGCACAGATAAGAGAACAGTAATTGATTTAAAGGAGCAGTAAATAAGGTTGGCACAGATAGGGCGCTCTGCCTTGTTGTCCTCTCCTTAACCTCGTTCCCTCCCAGGTGGCAGTGTTCCTGGGAAGAGCTGCTAACATCTACCCTCTCTCATTCCTTCTTAATCTGGGACGACGCAACAAGATCAGATCCAACTTCCAGCACATGATGATGTTTGCGGGTTAGTGTTGAGTTAAGAATACGACTTTGCAAGGAGTTTAGGCTTTTAGGCCTCTTCATAAATTACAAGATAACCCAGACAGGCTTGTAAACAGAGATCATCTAATTTGTCTTGAATAGGAACTTGCTCACTTGTTTGTGTGTAACATTCTCCATGCTGTGCTCTTCAGGACTGCGAGGCGCGATGACCTTTGCCCTATCCATCAGGGACACGGCAACGTACGCCCGTCAGATGATGTTTTCCACCACTCTGCTTGTGGTCTTCTTCACTGTTTGGATTTGTGGAGGTGGCACCACCCAGATGCTGTCCTGCCAGCGCATAAGGTACCTGTCGAATCCACTCCTGGGTAAAACTGGATCTGCAGTTGTTTTAACACTGGAGGGGTTTGACATCAGGCTATTTCAGATAATGTCACAGAAATTGACTGATTGTCTTTATGGCCCCCATGTTTGACTAATCTAGTTCTTCTATCGGGTTAAAACTCCAAGAAACATTCAATATAACCTTTGACCCTGCTCTGGTGAATGTTTGAGGCAGTTTTTTCACAGTACGCCCACATTTACATGGAATCTGGCTGCTCAGGAACGGAGGAAACATGCTTCACAGAACTGCTCTGCTCTGACGGTTTATAACTGCGGCTGATTTACATGTGTTTTTTTGTCTTCAACAGAGTGGGAGTGGACTCTGATCAAGATAACTCTGTAAGTGTGGCCATGGTAAACTACCTATTACTCTAATGTCGCATACATTAACTGTAATAAAACATCTGAATAACATTTTTTCTGTTTGAACAGATGAGTATCACTGATGGCTCAGAGAGAAGAAGCACCAAACATGAAAGTGCCTGGCTTTTCAGAATTTGGTACAACTTTGACCACAAGTATCCTTTGCTCAAAAATAATTACTTTTTGTCAATGTCATAAATGCCAAGAACAAAAACATTTTTTTTAATTGTCTGTGCTTAAAACTTGTGTGTTTTTAACAAATTGTCATTTTTATAACTATTATGAGATGCACTTCTGACACAGAAACTAAAAATAAATAGATTAAAGAACAAAATATAACATTAACAGCCAAAATTACAAAGTCACAAACACAAGAATAGAATTAAGAAACCTGCATGTGTATTAAAAAAAAGCTGCCAGACGACTGTGGCATCACACATGTTCCAGAGTGAGACAGCAGAGGGAGCACCATGTACAGACTTGAAGACAAATGATCTCTTTTATTGGCTGTGTAGTGTGACGGTCATTAAGTTTCATGTATTTTCACATTAATTCAATTTTAAGAATTTTGCCCTTTTGACTTGACAAAACAAGAAACATTGTTTTATTTTTTTACATTTTAATTGTATTTTAATACAATTTGTTCGCTTTCATTAATCACACTTTGTTGAATTGTTCTTGTTTGCTGTGTCTCACCACTCTCTCAGTGCTTGTTTTCCATGCTCTTATGTCCTTGACTTGAGCCCCTTCTCCAGCTATCTGAAGCCCATCCTGACTCACAGCGGCCCCCCTCTCACTGCTACGCTGCCTCCCTGCTGCGGCCCCCTCGCCCGCATCCTCACCAGCCCTCAGGCCTATGAGGTCAGACGCTGGTTCATACAGGAGCTATTTCTGGCTCAACTATGTTTGTTTAGTTTAAGAAAGTTATTTTTATTATAAGCACAGAGGTTTAATTTGAAAGATTTGGGCAGATGAGGAAACAATAATAAACACCAACCAGAGTTACAACCTTTAATTGGTAAAAGGTTTGCTATTTAAGTCACTTCTTTATCCTAGTCTCTGTACATATCTGACACCATTCCTCTTCCTTCTCACCAGAACGAGTGCCAACTGAAGGATGACGACTCTGACCTCATCCTGACAGACGGCGATATCAACCTGACCTACGGCGACATCACAGTCAGTACAGACGCCTCTGGTGCTCACACCAGTAGCGGCCCAGCCTTTGCTGGCGGCGCCACCTCTGATGACTTGGACAGAGAGTTGACGTACGGGGATCATGAGCTGGTGATGAGAGGGACGCGTCTGGTGCTGCCCATGGATGACTCTGAGCCGCCCTTTACGGACCCCCACCACCGTTTGCGAATGTGAAGATACAGCCAACCGTCCAACTCAAACTGACCCGAGCCATCAAGCAAACGACCAGTACCTGACACTCCGTCTTTCACTCTTCCACTTTTTTTCTCTTGCACATTGCCTCATTCGTCTTGCTTTTTTCCCCCCCTACACATTTCCTCAGCGTTAAATTTTCTCACTTCCTCTAGTGGCAAATCACTGTCTCTACCTCATTCTTGTTCTGCTCCTTTTCCACACCTTTCAGGCATCTGCCATAATTGTAATATAGTCTTATTTATTTGCAGGGTTCTTCTTTTTGGTATTCAGTTGAAAGTCAGTTTCTCTTAGTTCAGCTTAAAGTTGTGTGTCAGTCACCTTACTGTAGCATTGCACAGAGGTCTAGCAGCATGTGTTAGTGTGTAAATGCAAGTACCAACCACTAGCTAATTTGTCGATGTACAGTATATCACAAGAGTACTATAACTTTGATATGCATGCTGAGGATGCTTGTCGTTTTATTTGTGTGGGAGGTCGAGGGCTTTCGTGTTTTGGGTCTGACCTTGAATGTTGCTGCCTTCTCTCTGTGCATCAGAGGCATGCTGACCCAGTGGACAACTTTAGTGTACATTTTGTTACAATCAAGTGCCTGGGAATTGTAGTTTTAAGCCTGGCAGCCCATACTGGATCAGTTCTGGGAAGTACAACCAGTTCAGGATGGGCAGTCATGCAGTTGTAGTTTTCCTTTGTAAAAAAAAAAAAAAAAAAAAAAAGAAAAATACAAAAAAATAATGAAACAGACACCTCTGTCCATAAGGTAGCAATATACTCAGTGGGTGTTTGGGCTGTCAGTTTGTGCTATTCGCCTGTAAATAGTGTGTAACAATGTGATGCCACTGATGCAGTGTAACCTGGCAGTGAAAGTTGTGGATCTCTCCCAATGACCTTTGACTGTGACATAGAGAGGGACTTTACACCTTATTTTAGAAGCTGATGTCGCTCACAGCAGAACGAAGGGCTGTTGTTCCGACAACGAGATCCAAATCAGTTTTAACGGAGAAAGCTTAGTGCCATTTCTGTCCTGCATTTTGACATTTTATGAAAAGTGAATGCAGACGACCTTAAAGTGTTTTTGTATTATTTTTTTGCAACAGAGCTTAAGGACTTTAAGCTGAATCACCTTTGTCATACACATTTAGCTTTGTGAATACATTTTCTATTACAATTGTGCATTAATGTCGAGACTTTGGATCAAATTTTAGCATCAAATGAACCTGAAAAAACACATATGGATAAGTGTATTTGACACTAATGAACTTATGTTATTGGTAAGCACACAAGGGATTTTGTGAGTGTAATTTTGGCATATCAGACAATTGATTGTCTATCTCCGATTTTATTACGGCTGAACCCAATGATTATTTTCATGATTGATTAATCTGCCACTTAAAAAAATATATATATTTTTTTTTTTGGAGAGAGAGAGAGAGAGAGAGAGAGAGAGAGAGGAGAATTACTCTAATCAATTTATTCCTGATATGAGCAGATATTTTGGTTGGTACTGTGGCAGTTCATCATATGAGAATTGCCAGAAAAGAACAATAGTTGTTTACATGCTGGACATTTGTTCTTCTGCTGTACATGATGGGGTTCCTGCGTGTTTGATGGGGAAACTGGAGTTTAACAGCATTAAACTAATGCGTTATTTAGATGCATGAAAAATACACACTTTTAGGAGGGTACTCTTGGATGGATGTGTTATGTTTAACTTGTAGTTTTATTTCAGTGTGGAAGGAAGGTTTAGTGATTTCCTTTGTGTGGCGAGGATAGCAGCTGTTAATGCAGGTTTAACAGGAAGCGCTGACAGGGTGTCACCGTGGCAACGCCGTGTTGATGTGGCCAGAAGCCAGAAAACATCCGTGAACATGGTGACTTAGTAGAACAGTTTTGTGGTTCATCCTCTCCATGAAAAAACAGTGGTGCATGCAAGGGGATGATAATGTGGTTAAAGAAAAGAGTGAAAGAAATAGATGTTAAAAGAAAGAGAGATGGATGTGGAAGGGTAGTGTTGGTGTGTGTGTGTGTGTGTGTGTGTGTGTGTGTGTGTGTGTGTGTGTGTGTGTGTGTGTGTGTGTGTGTGTGTGTGTGTGTGTGTGTGTGTGTGTGTGTGTGTGTGTGTGTGTGTGTTGGTCTGTTGGGGATGATACAGAGGTGGAAGGAAGAGCAGGCTTTTAGATATTGCTTTTCCTTTCACAGTTATCTTCTGCTGTGCAGGAACTTCTAACTGAAAGTGTTCAATTTTTTTACAATTTTTAATTAGGCATGCCTCTTGACACCACATTGTCCAGGAAATGATTCATTCTTTCCACCATTTTATACTTTTCATTTGTTGTTGTTACTGAATTTTATTTTGTAGAAGGGAAACAATGAAGTAAAAAGTAATTTGCACTCATCCATTGAGAATGTTTTACTGTTAAATTGCTATGATGTTTGTTTTATCTAACAGCTGCCTTTATGTTATTTACTTTTTTATGTTTTGGAAGGTTGTGGAAAAATGTCACATGAATGTCAAATTCATGTCAGTTTAATGCATCTTGCTTTAATGTTCAGTAAAAGTTAAGTTGGTTTGTTGATGTTACTATGAATTCCACATTGCAGTGGCAGTGGAGAAGGTTAAAAGTCCTTTCATACTGTTCCATCTTATCACTTCACCTTTCAGGTATGTCTGTCTGAATGCTGTTGCCATGACTTCTACAGAGCATGATTCATCATCTTCTGCTGAAATGGTGGGGGAAAAAAAAAAAAATATATATAATATAAAATAAAAATATATATATATATATATATATATATATATATATATATATATATATATATATAAAAGCAGAATTGTGTGCCACTGTTCTCCAAATGACACATTAAATAATATGAAATCTGCAAAAGCTGATATAGGTTTTGGTGTTTGCGTACTGCTCTGCCAGTGTGTGTTCTCTCTCTGTTCTCTGAATGGTGACTTGTGATAGGCTTTGATCATTGGAAACCTTGTCTGAAGTAGCTGACCAAAGAGGCCTGCTGTGCTTTGTGTTTTCAGACAGTCCACTCTATCTTTCTACTGCAAATTCTGTGTGTGCGTGTGTGTGTGTGTGTGTGTGTGTGTGTGTGTGTGTGTGTGTGCGCGCGCAAGAGAAAAGATAGGGGAGACATTGTGTTCTCTGTCTCTTCCTCTGTGTTGCAGGTACCAACTGTTTACATCTGCGTAAACATACTCTCACCTGTTTCATGTGCGTGCAGCCGTCAATAAACAGAAGCCTGTGCTTTTGATTAAAGCCCTCGCTCTAATGGCCTCCTCATTTACCTTGTTTCCTCTTTTATTGGATGTCTGGTTTGTGTAAGAATGTATCATCCCGTCCACAAGAAGTATGAAAGAAGATTAGTGCCAGATGTGATTTTGTTTGAGCTGCATAAATCTGAAAAGGGATTTTCACCTTACGCTGAGAACAGGTTTTTAATCTTCATAGCCTTGAAATATGGCCGGTAGCCCAAGCTTACAAGCTATTGAGAGATTGTCAAATATTCCAGTGCAATAAGGTCAACTTTCTGGCTGGCTGGTCCTGGTCTAAAGTAGGGTTGTACAAAGGTTCCAAACTTGGGGGTACAGGTCCCACTGAAGGGTCAAAAGATAAACCTGTGAGATGATAAGCAGGAAAGAAAAAAAAATACAGTATTTCTGCTCTAAAAATGGTTTATTGTGCAGACTTTGCTTTTTGTAATGGGACAGTGGATAGTTGTACCTCTTCAGGTCTCTAAAAGTTCAACAGAAACAATCTAAGAAGAAGTAATAAAAACACTTTTTGGTTGAACCGGTAGACGTATCCAACCTGTTACGATGTTTCACAGGTAGACACTGTAATTTTACAAGCTTAGAAGGTTGGGAATCACTGCTCTAATGTGGAAACACTGGGACTAAAATTCTTCATGTCTGGGTCACTTGTGCTCCAATCGAATAACAGATTAATTATTGATTAATAATAGGTGTACATGTGTTATTCCTTGTTACAGGTAAACTCTGGGACTCTGGATCTGTCAAACCATCTCTATTGTGTGATGTGAGAACTAAAAGACTCCTTGGGAGATGTGCCCTTTGCTCATCTTCTCATCTAATATTTACATCTCATTCTCCCAATTTGATCAAACACTCACCAAGCCTACAAATGATCATGAATTGAGCCACAATTTTTCTGTCACTTTGTGTTGTAAATGATTAAATGAACCAGACAACAAAGAAAAACCATTATGTGTCCAGGATAAAGGAGCAGAGTGGCGTTAATATGAAAGCCGCACCCTGCACAGCCAAGACTGATGGCATTAGATTCTCCCAGGCACGATTTGTGCCAGATATCAGGTAACATGCTCCTAATATGGGCACAACTCCCTCCAGTCTGCTCAAGAATGTCTGTATAATGGAGTTAGAGTCCAGGGAGGAAATAGTAGTTTTAAAGGGCCACTTAGCTTCGGCTCGAGCAGATATCTGTCTCCCAACTGAAATGTCTGATTTCCACTCGCTCCACAGAAGTATTAATGTTGTTGATCATAATAAATTACGTATTGATTATTCCACCAGGTACTGAGATTTGCTGTTTTTCAAGTTAAACTGTATAATGGTATTAAATCAAGTCAAAAAGTTTCCCACTCCAGTGGAGTTTTTATTAGGTGTTATAAGAAAAATTTGACTGTTCTAGTACAAAAACAGATTATGGAAGTCATTTTATGCTGCCTTCTGTTGCATTTGAATTCCTGCAGTAAATACTGGATCCTTGTTTGTTTAGTGAAATGCCCCTTCCATAATTTCCACTATTACTCTTGCAAATGTGCACAGTAAACACATCTCAAAAAGAAAACACATTTAATGCTGGAAATGGGAACTGCAGTTCATAAGAGGCCATAATATAGATGTTAAACAAACACAGCAACATATGATCTTAATATCCTCCCCTCATAACTTAGATAGATATTCATCCTGACTGTACAGACACATGCATCCTCCCTCTCACACTTCTTTCTTAGGCTTAGAGTTGGATGTTTATCTCTGTGGATGGAGCTCAAATGAAGACGCAAATATCTGTTTAGTCTCATTGACACATGGTATAAAAGCTGGCATCCGCGTTATGTAACAGCTTTCGGGGCATTTCATCATCGATTTGTAATTATAATGGATTCACTTTGTGGGTTAAGTTTACAGGCTGCAAGTATTTACGTTGGGTTAAGAAATGAGTCATCTTGATGTAACTCCTCCATTCATTACCAAAGAAGGAGACGAGTGAGGCTGACACAGAAAGTAGGACAAAAGTGTGTCAACTTGAGAAGTCAGTCCATCTTTTGTAAACAGCAGCAAATGTTGCAAACGTTGTGAGGAAGAGTGACACCATGAGCGGGGATCCCTTGCACAGATAGACCTGCCTCTAGCACAGTAAGGTGGTTGTAAAGTCTCAGCGCTCGTTGATGCACAAAAGTTATGACTTTATTTTCTTCCCGATCCCCGTTTGCTCAGAGCGCAGCGCCAGTGAGAACTTTACTAAGAGATCTTGTAAATTCCTAGTTGAGGTCATTGTTTATGAGAGCTTACAGAGGTTTGGCTCATGTCCTGCACTTTTTTTTTTTCCTCTGCTCCCCCTGTCTTTTAAAGCTGCGCTGCCTGCGCAGATTTTACCTCTCGGCCAAAGCCACCGGACACTGCTGCTGACAGAGTGAGAGACGCTCATCTGTTCGCCTTTTTTGAGAGGTGAGTCCAAAAAACCCACAGCTGTGTTTTAACTCAGATTATCAGGCAGCCGGCTCAGGTCACTGCAGATGATGTTTAAGTGCTTCATGAGAGCTTTATCCGTTATTTGGTCCATTTAAGGACAGTTATGTCAGATGCGTAATTGCAGCCGTTATCTTATCGTACACCATTTGAGAGCGTTACATCCTCAGTTTCACAGAAGGTCCTTCTGAAGAATATTAAAATATGCGACCAATTTCTTTTTAGTATTTCAGTCCACCTGACCACGTCGGGAACGGTGCTGCTGCGCGCAACAGGTGATGCGCTTTGTTTGGCACTGCAATGGCACATATTGTGGACACTCTATCTGCCCGTATCTCTATATCTCCATGGACATGTTTGTTTGGAGCAAGTTCATTTTAGGACTTTTTTATTTCAAAAATAAACTTTTGTCTGTGGTTCATAATAATCAACAGTAGTGGAAAGTAACTAAATACATTCACTCAAGCACTGTACTTAAGTACAGTTTTGAGGTAATTAAGTATTTACATTTTCTGCTACTTTATGCTTATACTCCAACACGATTTAAAGATAAATATATATAAATAATATATAAACCACCACTGTATAAAGCAGTTAAACATTAAATTAGAGCTTACATGTTAATGCATCAACAATATGTATATTTGTTGTCTTGAACTGTGTTATAATGTTAACTGTATCTAATATTTTGACGACCCCTCCCTCATACATGCTTTAATATCAAGTACAAACATGTAATACTGGTTGCAGGACTACTGTATTGGATTCCATCAGATCTGTAGCTGTATAATGAACAGCAGAGCCCAGAGGTACCATGTGTACCATGTGTAGCTTGAAACTGTTAAAACATACATCAGCTTTCCTTCTCCTCCCTTCTTGTTTGGGCAGCTGCCAAACCAAATGCATGATGTCATTAAAGAGACTTGGAGATTAAGGCCCTTCCTCTGGCACACTGGACCTCCTAGTGGCTCCAGTATGACTTCACCATCCTTCAAAGCCCATAAAAACGTTGTACTTCACTGAGTAATAAATTAAACACCATTTCAACTTGAAAGGCCTTGAGCTTTTTCTTCTTTGCAGCAATTTATAAATCACTTTTAAGACATAAGTCACATGGATCTCAGAAGTCTTTTTATTTTGAATTTTTAATGTAAAATCAGCACAGAAGCACTGTACAAATACAACAGCACAGTTACAGATTATTCATTCATAATGCCTGATATGTAGTGTATAATTTATATATCGATCTTCAGTGGAGCTGTTGTATGTATGTGTGTCTGTGGGGCCTCCTCTTCATCAGGGCAGCAGGACATTTGGCGACTGGGAGATTTGATGCCTGCAGTTTATTTAGGCAGAGACTTTCGTTGAGAAGACGGTCCCATAATTTTTTTTGTTCTTGCAAATGGAGCAGAGAGGGAGAGACAGAGGGAGAGACAGGGGGAGACAGGGGAGAGACGGGAGACAGGGGGAGAGACAGGGGGAGAGACAGAGGGAGGGAGGGAGGGTGTGTCTGAGTGTAGATGACTGAGTTGATGAAACACATGAAACAGCACTCTCACCAGCACCAGCTCACTACTCCTAAATAGGCAATGCTGCTTGTTTGTCTGGGTGGGCTGAGTGAGCTGAGTGGAGGCAATATTCTCTTTAGTGGA